GGAAAACAAAAGGAACAAACAAGAAACAGAAGTGTAGGAACGGGTGAATCAAGTTCAGCATGAATGTGAGCTTTAAATCCATATTTTCCGTTTATTTTATTCCCGTGGACTCACTGAACCCAAGCAGTCCGTATTGTTACGGTCTAGGGAGTTCGCATAGTTGACTTTTTCCATGACATTCTGCGTAACCGATGGCTCCAGAGCCCTTGCCGTCATTGAATTTGTCAAAAGTGCTATCTGACTAATAACGAACTTCTTGGTAGAGCTTAGCTGTTCCGCTCATAGGAGATGCTGATATATGCTATCAGTTAACTGATAGATAACATGTGAAGCACCCATCGGACAACCAGTTTAAACTGCATTCTCACTGTGTTTGAGATGATGTCTAATCCATAGACAGACAAATTTTTCGAATCACTTTGGTAACAGTCCTTTGTATTTACTGTCATTATTGGGGTGTAGCCTGCTCACATAAAAGCAACCTGTTGGATGACGCTGTTGCAAAGCCGAACAACTAACTGTGCGATTCAATTTCGTGGAGGTGGTAGCTAGGTTTTCTCAGCAGCATTTGGCGATCCTATCATTCTGTTGCATTGGGAGGCTTATAAAGCACCCATTATCATTGGAGGCTGCTTCCAGTGACCCTGATAAGCACTTTTCGTGAGATATAATTGAGTTACCACTCTCCCAGTTGTCAAATCATGAGTCATCACCTTCGTAATACGTATGAGGAGAAGGAAAGTCTATATCCTGATGCTACCGTTTTTCATTGTGTAGATTTTCAACATATGTACCTACTGTATTCAGGAGCATAATACTATCTTGGGACCCGTAACGTTTCATCTCTGCGTCATCCAGGTGTCCGTCAGTAACCGAAATCACGTATCTGTTGTAAGCCTACAACTGAATATGACGATGCCTTCAGATGACGTTGTATGGCTGTTGCTGTTTGAGGATGCTATAGTTAGTTAAAACAGTTTATAGTTTTTTGTCAGCTCACCAAAACAGTGAAAGTTTCGGACTCTTTAGAACATCCAGTTCGTGTCAGTTCACTTGTTAGACACTTCGCATTCTTATGAAATCGGTTTAATCAGTAAGTTTACTATTGGTGTTGATCGGGAGGAGGGTTGCCATCAAAGCGCACTGAACTAAACTGAACTCCATTCTTTCGTTTCCATCGTTACTCCTGTTGTAGTTCAACTGACCGCTTACTAGAAATCCGTTGCGTAACTTTTACCTTTACGCCCCTAAAGTTTAGGATAATTTAACTTCTTTAACGGTGAATGTCTTTCTCTACCTTAGACAAACATACACACAATTATGGCTTCCGAGGCTCAGGTGATGAAGCTCATGTCAACACTGGATGTTGCTATCGAGCAGGCGGACCAGATGGTGCAACGGATGGCTGACTACCATCAGTTTCTGGCAGTAAGTTGTTCTCACTTTGACCTGACTTATTTGGCCCCGAGGGGCATTGTAGTTCACTGGATGCATGCTAGTTAGACTGTAGAACAAAAGTGCCGTTTTAAACAATCTTGTGACTTGAAATCCACTTAAGAGCGCTAGCTGGTGGCATCCGGCCCTTATGAGCACGGTCAGTACTGAGGATCTGTCATATTGGTTATAGTCGCCGCCTTCTCTACGTATTCAGTACAAGCATATTTTTGAACAACAAAATGTGAATTAATGGGAACGTGAGATCAGCACATGGAGTGCAGAAGGAAGCAGGAAGTCAGAGGGCTGGAATACTGCCAGGTTGCCCAAGCCTAGACAGGGGAAGTCGAGAGGCAGAGTTTGGGTTCGAACCATGGACCTTCCGGTCAGTAAATCCATGCTCCAACCACTGAACCATCTCGCCCCACATGGAGTGCATTGTCTCCACTAGCAATGCCAGTCCGTTGTTCTCTATTAGACCCTTTGGGCACTCATTTTTATGGATATCTGAACGGGAAGGTTGAATCTTGGTCAGGCTCACGGATCGGCGAAGCGAATAAGGATGGTCGGTGGTCTCTTTTTTAAGGAGACAACCAACCGCAAGCTGGATAGGAACAAATTAAGTTCGCCAACTTTGAAAGATTTTTTGAAATGTGAAACTTATGCTAGTACCGGGTATTGTGTACTGGGTCATAAAAGTTGTTGCTGAGGTCTATTCGACACCACACTACCGGTTTCCCCCGTCGGGTTCATCAACTAGGCGTAATCCATGAGTTTCCGTCAGCCTTATGTTTCACTTAAACGCCAAACTGTACGTCATTGGTAAAATACGCATTTGCAAGGCGAGCTAGTGTTAACGAGGGATTCGACTAGATCTCCGATGAACCTCTCGTTAATGATATTCTTAAAAGGTATTCTTAAAATAATTGTTTTATAAAAAAAGTATACTTCTATGTCTTAAGTATTGGACTTTGTGCGGGACATTCATTTAAAGAATACCATACCCTTTTGGGTGCCTGGCTGTCATGCCACTCCGAAGTGAGAACGAAATCTGTTATACTGTCAACCTATCATAGCCTAGACAGAATCAGTCGAGATTCTGGGGTTGAGTTTGAACCTCGGACCTTCCAGTCAGTAATTTCGTAACTTAGTCACTGAGCTATCTCGAGCTCACTAACTTAGGTTGCAGTTACGTCCATTTCGTTACAACGTTCGTCATTTTCGGCACCTGGTTCTCTTAGTTTCTTCAGCCCACGGATGACGGTCTCTGCTACTTTGAGCAGAGCATATCGAGGACCGAAATTCCCGACTTTCTATTCTGAACTCAAATAGTCACAAAAGCAAAATGATGCAGGTACGAACTCAATCAGACTGCAGTAGGAGTGATCATCATCAAAGACAGCTACATCAGTGTGGACACTGATGCTTCACTGCCGTACAACCATAAGGTTCGTCTAATTATATTTAAAACCCTAGAGTGAAAAAGAAGAGAGGGAGTGGAAGGGGATTTAGTGCTGGTCTGTGTCAAGTGTTCTGAGGTGCCTACACCTCCAAGCGCTCAATCAGACAATCTGGAAACTTACAGCACGAACACCGCTAACGTTGATTAGCTGCCATTTCTTGCAATGTCTCCAGCCAAGCACAAATGGGTTGGACTCCATCTTGGAAGGCGTACAACACCAACAACACCCAAACTCTTCGTGATCTCTTTCACGCCTTTTAACCAAGTCATGTGCTGTCCACCTCGCGGTTTGCGCCATCCCGAAGGAGGCACGGAGAACAACACTCGTCTTGGTAGACGGTGTTTTGGCATGCGTAGCACATGACCGAGCCACCGTAGTCGATGATGGTGGATGTTTTCCCGGATTGAGGTGCCTGCAGCACAACCAGATACCCGTTTTCTAATTCATACACACGACCTTTGGATCTAGTGATATGCCTTTTTGGCGCCACAAAGGATGCAAATTAGCAAACGTGATTCGTGCCTTTGAGGTTCTCGCACTGACTTAATCAGACACATTTCCGTCAGAGCTAATACAACTACCAAGGTACGTAAAATCTTCCACAATCTCCAGTAATTCTCCTTGAATTGTAGGGGATATGTTCGCAGCTGGCACGTTCTGAAGCATAGCCTTGCACTTTGAAGGTGCAAGGCGAATGTCAAAAGATGGTATGATGTTCGTCAGTCTAATCAACAGGGCTTGATCCTCGCTTTGGTCTTCAAAGATGAGGGCAATGTCATCTGCATACTGCAGATCGGCAAGATTCCCACAAGCTATAATTTGAACACCGGGGTCTTAAAGACCTTACAGCGTTCGTCTCATTATTTCATTAATGATGAAATTGAACGGGAATGGAGAGAGTGAACATCCTTGTCGGATTGTCAGACACCACTTTTTGTAGGGAATGTTTTAGAGAGCTCACCATACACTCACCCGACCAGAAGTATGCGAATATAGGGATGGGATTATGTTCACAAGCTTCTGGGGCATACTCTGTTGAGCAAGTGTAGTCAACAGCACTGACCGATCGACAGAATCGAACGCACCCTTGAAATCAAGGATTACCAGGATTTTGGGTCGTCTGTATATGTGGCGTTGCTCTAACACCTGACGGATTGTGAGGATGTGGTCAACGCAACCTCTACCCAGTCGCGATCCCGCTTGGTTCTCACGAGCCAAGGGTTCGTGTGCCACTGTAGGACGTCGAAGAATCAGCGACGCCAGAAACCTTGTCACAACAGCAGTCAAACTAACGCCTCCGTGGTTACTAGATTCACTTCGAGTACTCTTTTTGAAAATGAGCACTACTATCGATTTATCTCAGCTGTCTGGGACGGTCTCTTTTTCCCAGATAGACCCAAATAGGCTCGACAGGCACTGGCCTAGAAGTACACCGCCACCCTTGAACAGGGCAGGTAGAAGGTAGTCAAGAACAGCAGTACGATGACACTTGAGTAGGGAAATACTCTCGGACACTTCTGAGGCTGAAGGCGGCTCCATATGCATGGTCCACCTTTCTGTTGGAGGCCAGGCTTCCGGATTGGAGGCATCAGGTGGCCAGCTGAATTGCTGCTCGAAGTACTGTGCCCAGCGGTCCAAACATTCTGCTTGACTGCTTATCAGGTAGCCATTTCGCTCCCTGATTATCTCGTTAACAAGCGGTTTCCGAGGGCCAGTCGCGTGAAGTAAAAGTGTTGCTCGTTACCTGATTTAATGCTAATAATGGCGACCCAGTTTTACGTTGTTTATTGGCCACAAATTTAGAGTCTGCCACCAGTTCCTTAACTTCAAGTGAGCAGACGGAATTCCCTTCTCTACTATCTGTATTCCGTTAGCATCATTTTGACATCTTGGGATAAGGACCAACTTTGACGTAACGCTTCCCTTGTCACAATCCTGTAAACAGTCATAGGAACATGGGTGTAAGGCGGTGTATTTAAATCGGAATAAACTGAAATGACCTTGATAGTGCATATATTGAATTCAGCCGCATTACAGTCAAAAGTAAAGTGAAGTGAGACGGAGACCTGGCAACCGGAGACCTCTTGGCAACAACTTCGTCAGTATGACAGGCTCAAGTTCTGATGCACAACATTCTGAACAAGCAAAATTTCAAACCCAGATATGAATACATATGTATATGTATATACTGTGAAAGATTTTGCATCCAGGCGGTCGTACTTTAGTCAGATCGACCTTCCTTATCGTTTTTATCCGGTGTGGCACAAATTGCTAACTCGCCAGCAAACAGGAGATACACGGCTCCTTCCGAAGAACGCACACCCTCGGAATCAGCACAAGTCACACTCTTTTGAGAATCGCACTCTCTTGAGGGGAGGGCACACTCTGGACCTTGGCTTTACGGCATTTCTCCATACAGCTTGGGTGAGCACCCACTGATTTGCTAGGACTAAAACCATATATTGTCACAGTACAGGGTGAGTAACACACCATCACTTTATCTTCTTTGTCGCCAGTCCCCTTTTTGAGTGAATTTGACGAAACTTATATTTGAACCTTTTACATGAGATAAAAAATCAAGGGAGGGAATAATGAACGACGCAGGACTTTGTTAACCCCACTTTTTCTCGCTGGGTTGTAGTTTTCTATAAGTTGCCGCTTGCTCTCCTTTCCTGCAGAATGGTGTGGTTTCTTTTCGATTTTTGCAAGGCGTGTTCTACCATTGGCCACGCAGTATGTCAAAGGGTGTTCTGAAGCACAATAAAACCTGTCCTTTTTTCTGGCAAGTGCTCACTCAATATACTCAAAGAAAGTCGCATCTTTTCTTGTAGTGCTGGTTGCGATAGTATCTCAATTCAGCTCTCTGTGCATGGAATATGCACTTCAAGTGCGATGTATCATCAAACAAAAACATTATTCACCACATCATCGTGCACGTGTGTGCATCCCGTAATCTAAGTTCTGTGGGTTGGATGGTTCCTGTTGCAATAGCGAAAGTCTTCCTCTAACGTGCTTCCTGCTTGTTGATTCGCTGGTATTGATGCGTAATTGTTGTCCTAATCCACGATTTTCAGATGGCTACTCATCGTCACTCTAGCCGGGCAGCTAAAGCCGTAGTTTCGAGAATGGAATGATACTTCTAAATCTCAGAAGGAATACTCTTCGGAAACAGCACTGCAGTTAGAACTTCCTTAAAGCCTTATAGTGGGTGAACGTCTTGGGTCTCTTACACATGTGACTTGTATGGCCGTGGGACGCGGCAAGAACAGAGGCGATTGGTTATTTTCGCAACGTATTACCAACATTTGCCTGTGTGGAATCCACCGATAAGCACCAAATTAGACGAGATGCATCTTGCGGTGTCAGTGAGCAGCCGAAAACAGATAATTCTGGCTTGTCAGTATACACAGCGAACACAAACGAGGATGAAATCATTAAATATGTCGCGCAGATTTCAAGGAGACAGACAGATGGCCATCAATCTAATGGTTGATTACTCCAAATTTCGGCCATTGTTTTCCCATAGTAACGTTCAAAATTCCTGGCTAAGGTACTGCAACGGTTGAACACGACCGTTTCGGAATCACTAGAACTGCTACAATGTCTTTGTCACCCGATTCACAATACGCCTTTATTCAGTTGGGCAGCTTTCCGTCAATACGCAGTTAGGCTGCGCTGATTTCCGAAGGTATTCTCTCTCAAAGCCTGTGGTGATTGGATTACGCCTTTTTCCGGAACCTAGTAGCCAATCACGTCTTTGAAGTTCGTATTGTCTCAAATCTCCCTAATTTGTGAGCTAGAAAATGTCCATTGTTTTTATACTCTTTTCCGGTGTAGATTTCAGACTTCCTGTCGCAGGCTTCCGTTGTTTTTCTCACTTTAGGATGTCGAAGAGGCTATGTCCACCCTGCATGACCGTGATCAGCTCAGTCAAGTGACTGTAGACAATCGTGGGGCCTTGTTGAATCTGTTGGAGCAGTTGGTCACTCGTTTGACACTGGACCCAAAGTATGTACATGCATTACTCGAGGTGAAACTCGATCAACCGGCGGATGTCATTCGATGCACCGAAGCGGCCCAGTATCTGAATGGTTTGTTGCATGCGAAGCCTACTCCAGGTAATTTGTTTTCCATAATTTTGGTCCATCTGCTTGAAGGGTATTCTTTTCTGGAAGCGCAATACACTTGTTGCTTTCTGGTTGCTTTCTGTACAGGCTTTTGTTAGCTCGATCTCCGCCTGATTGAATGAATTCATAAGACAGCCTGCGCTAGTTCTCCAGGGAGTGCAGCTCTCTAGGCATTAATTTTTCTTCCTAAGACAGTTAGCTTCCTTTAACCGTATTTTCTTTCTACTGAGTGTTATGATTCCCGTCTCTTACCACCTTACTTCACTATACCTAATTTCTTCTTACCTTGCGTTTTAATTGGATAGGCGAGGAGCATCTGCAAGCTGTTGGCGAGCAGGCTGTCGAATTGAAGCGCTTGCGGGATTCATTTGCGACAGAGCTGGCCAAAAAAGTGAACAACTCAGTCATTGCTTTCTCGCGACAACTTAATTTTGTTGTAAACGTTGGTTCCGTGGGAGTGGCAACTGCGGAGGCACCAGATAGCGCAAGTCAAGCAGGTGGTTCTCGGGCCACCTTAACCGCATCAACCGCAATTCGTAACGCCACGGAATTATACAAGGCTCAACGTGAGGAATTGATCCAATTGGCGCCACTGGTTGGAGTTTGGTTGCAGACCAATAGAAAGGATATCTACACAGAACTCAAGCGAGTACGTTGTAACGTGTTCTAATGAGGAGGCACTTTATT